GTACCTCCTTCACCTTCGTGGGGGATTGCATCTCGATCACCGCTATCACTTTCTCTGGGTTGACCTCGATTCCCCTCTTCGTGACCATGTAGCCCAAAAACTTCCCAGATTTGACCCCGAATGAGCATTTAGCGGGATTCAGCTTCATCCCATACTTTCGGAGGGTCATGAACGTTTCTTTCAAGTTATTTACATGGTCGATTTCCTCTTTGCTCTTTACCAGCATATCATCTACATACACCTCCATGTTTCTTCCCAGCTGATCCTTAAAAATTTTATCCACCAACCTCTGATATGTCGCCCCTGCATTCTTTAGCCCAAATGGCATCACCACATAGCAGTATGTTCCACGGCTTGTTACAAAGCTGACCCTTTTCCAATTATCTCGGGCCAGTGGGATCTGATGATAACTCTGGGATGCGTCCATCAAACTGAGTAGCTCACACCCGGCTGTGGAGTCGACCAGCTGGCCGATCCTGGGCAGCGGGTATAAATCCTTCGGGCATGCCTTGTTCAAATCTTGAAAATCTATGCACATCCGCCATTTTCCCTTTGACTTTGAGACCATAACCGTGTTCGATAGCCACTCTGGGAACTGGATCTCCTTTATGTGACCTGCCACCAAGAGTTTTTCTACCTTCGCCTCGATTACTTTATCCATTTCTGCCCCGTGGTGTCTCCTTTTTTGCTTCACCGGTCTTACAGTGAGGTCGATGTTCAACCGGAGCTCAATAACTTCTGCCTTGATACCAGTCAACTCCTCCGTCGAGTATGCGAACACATCCGCAAAATCTCTTATCACCTTAATTAGCCTCGATTTCACTGGCTCCTCCAATTCCTTCCCGATCTGAAATTTCCTCTCTTCGCACCCCTTGACCATCTGTATCTCCTCCACTTCGCCACCCGGCTGTATTTCTACATTCTCCTTCCCCTTCTCTTTCTTATGCCTCTCTTCCTTCGACCTCGACCCTCCCGGTCGATTAACTTCCTCCATCTTAGGGTGCATCTGCCTCCTTGCTAATTGATTGTTGTTGCTCACAGTGGTCTGGTAGCAGCTTCTCGAGGTAAGTTGATCCCCAGCGATCTCACCAATGTTTTCGCTCACCGGATATTTGATCGTCATGTGGTACGTGGATACGACCGCCTGGAACGCGTTTAGGCTCGTTCTTCCCATTATGATATTGTAGGATGATTCAGCTCCTACGACCACAAATCTCACCATTCGAACTTTCCGGGTCGCTCCCTTTCTCAGTGCTACAGATAGACTCACTTCCCCCATTGGCATAACCTCCCTGCCATTAAAGCCATACAAGGCCGTAGCCACCGGCTTCAGCTCCACATTCAACTCCCGATTGATTTGCACGAAGCAATCATAAAACATGACATCGACCGAACTCCCTGTGTCTATAAACACCCTCTTCACATCAAAACCTGCAACTTCAGCTGTAATTACCAAGGCATCATTTTGAGGTACTACCACCCCTGCTGCATCCTCTGCCCGAAAACTAATTTTCGGTACCCGGGTCGTGATACCCACCTCCTCTCTTTTCCTTTTCATTGCTCGAACATGGCCTCTCCTTGCATTATTCGAGTCTCCGTCTGTCGGTCCTCCTGAAATCATATATATTGTGCCTCTCTTCACTTGGCCTCCATCTCATTCTCTTTCCCGCTCTCTACTTCCTCGCCTCCTTTTCCCCTCATCTCTTTTTCGACCATCTCGACCACCTCGTGTATCCTCATCATCATCTTCCTCTCTCCTCTCCACCGAGTCCTCACGACACCTTCTCTTCTCCTTCCTCTTCCCCTTATCCTGATAGACAAACTCCTTGAGATGCCCTGCTCGAATAAGGTGCTCAATCTCATCCTTGAGATGCCGACAATCCTCAGTAGTATGGCCATAGTCTTTGTGGAAGCGGCAATATCTCCTCGACTTCGGTTGGGTTGGCCCTTCGAACCTCGACCTTGGCCACGTC